AAATAAAAAATAATAAATTTTGCATATATTATAAATAATTGAAAGCTTTAGCCAAAATTATTTTGAGTCTTAGTCCATGAAAATATAAATTATTATTTATATACGAAAATGTATATTATGATAATTTGGCTAGCCATTAAATATTCATTATTGAATATTCTAAAATCAAGCAGAAAAAAAAGTATATCAAAATATATATATAAAAGTATATATTGCATATGCAAATTTAAATAGTCTACAAATATTCTAATTAGTTGAAACCACTTTGGAATTTGACATAGATACGAAACGTCGAGAGGCTATAGAAATAATCTGGCAGGAGTCCGCACCGTGGAGCATGCTTGAAAATGTAAATCCACACTCAGCTGTAAGACTTGGCTATTACAAGATTATGTATACGCATAGTGGGGCTGATACCTTTTTTTTTTTTTTTTGTTGGTTGTTTTTGTTTGTTTTTTGTTGGTCTGAGCACTTTGGCCAACTCGCACTTTTACTTTTATTTTAGCCCGGCTATCTAGAGGCAAGAGCGAGCGAAGTGCATCTAGTGCACAAGTGGAGCACTCGTCAGAGCTCTTCAGCGTGCCGATAATCCAATTATGGCCATGGCCTGCCAAGGGTCTGACAGGCTTCAGCTGCTGCTGTTGTTGTTGCTGCTGTTGCTGTTGTTGGGTTGCCTTTTCTGGCTGGGTTACCTGTGCTACCTGCGTTACCTGTGCTGCCTGTCTGCCATGTTGTGCGCGCTCGTTCACTCACCTGCTCCGAGTCTCTCACATAATTTTAGCCAGTTTATTTGGCTGTTTGGCTTGGCTCGCGTTATTATCAAGTTACATTGGCCAAAACACTAAACAGTCTATGCATGTAGTATATAAAAGGGTCGCCGCCCAAGCCGGAGCCATTTTTGAATGGGGGCTAATGTCTGAGGCTTGCCGCAGTCGAAGTCGCAGTCTCTAATCAGTTGGGGGCGTGTTCGAGTGAGGGGGCGTGTGTGCGAGTGTGTGGCTTAACCATTTGCTTCGTTTAGCGCATTTTGTTTGTTATTTAAAACACGTAAACGCTCAACGAAGCGAAAGTGTTTTGGACTTTCAGTTGGCAACTTGCGAGGGTTACCATGTGAAATCCATTTTAATTAAAATACCTTTGTGGCACAGTTTTCCATTAGGCAAATAAAAAATAGAAGCACACAGTGTTAATATTTCTAGCATTTTTATATTTATTTTCCTTTTTTTTCAATTTCATTTGTATTGATATGATTTTTTTTTCTTAAATTTTCGGGTTTTCTTGTTGTTATTTTTTTTTCACTACTTTAATTTTGCTTCTGCTGTTGTTGTTCATAATAGGAATGTAAAGTAAAAAAGAGAACATAATGCATTTGCTGACTCGCTCTATCATATCATATATCCTATTGTGTTTTTGTGTTTTTGTTACTTGTGTGTATTTACAATATAATAATTTTTATATAATATATATAAAAATTGTTTCCGCTCACACAAAAAATGGAAAGAAAGAAGAAGAAGCGAACAGATTCCTGTTGGCATTTTATGAGCAGCAGCCATTGAAAACGTATTTTGTCCCGCTCCTAATTGATTTATTCATTTGTTCGCCATGAATAGTTGATTTTTGTATTCTTTTTTTCCTCTTTTTTATTATATATATATATTTATTTGTAATATTATTATTATACTTGTGCATTTTGCATCATCGTCGTGTAAACAACTACAATTAGTATCACGATTGTCATTGTTGTAACAAAAGCAGAAACGAAAAGAGAATAATAAATAAACAAATAAATTAAGCTTTTTTCTTTATTAATAATTTATTTCATTTAATTGGTATTTATGTATTAGTGTGTGTCGGTGTGCACTCTGTAAATGTTTACGCGTTTCATTATGACCCTTTGTTTTCTTTTCTCTCGTTTTTGTTGTTTTTTTCTTTTTTTTTTAATCATGTAACTTTTGCCAAAACTGATATGTACTTATATATGTGTGTGTTAAAATATTGACTGCTGCCAAAGTTCGTAAACCCCTAGTAGACCTTGTTTTATTTTTTATCTCTTTCATTTTCGGTATTTTTTTATTTTTATTTTTTCATTGATAACTGTGCATTGTGTCATTTCTACGTTCATAAAAAAACCATTGTAATTGCTAGCCAATTGTTTGTTTAATTTTTGTTTTTTCTTTTTCCTTTTCATATTCATACCTTTAAATATTTATATTTATATTTATATTCATGTATCTATAATGTACTTATTGGCCTTGCTGCTAATTGTATTCCATACTGATGTCTAGAATAGTTTTTCATTTCTTATTTCTTTTCAGCTTTTAAAAATATTCGCATATATTTATATATTTGTAAACTATTATTAACAACTTAATTTTCTATTAGATCTATGTAGATGCAAGAGTGTTTTTATTTATTAACTACCTTCTAGTATTTTGTGTGTGTGTGTGTGTGAGTCTATAAATAGATATGATGTCTGTGTCCTTGTCACTTAATAGGAATCATCATATGTTCGCTTATATATGTGAGTGTGTGTGTGATTTTATGTAATCGATTGTATTAATTACCATTAAGTTGGCCAAAGACTCTGCGCTAGGCGTACTTGGGGGACCACATAATTACCTAATGGTCTTTTAATGATAGTTAAACAAATGATAATAGTCGTAAAAGAAAGTTGGACTTGCTCTGGTAAACAAAATAGGCAAATGCTGAAAGTATCAGCTCTAATTGGCATGGAAACACAAAGAACACAAAGAAGAGTACTATGATATGATAATAAATATAATTTAATATTCATTTATATTTATTTTTAGATTTCATTCATAAAAACTCCCAATCGCTTGGCGCTTGTCCAACTTTAGTATGTATTCTTATTATTATTATATATAATATATATATAAAACTTATAAATTACGAGTGGACATAAACCGATTTGCTGTTTTCGTTATTGTTAGGGTTCATTAGCTAATTCCAAGTGCTGCCAAAAATGTAGGCTACATTTAGCTAATATTTATATATAGTATATAAATATATTAGTTTATATACAATATTATACATATATATCATTGTTTTATCCAACAGGCGCCTCATTCGGCCAGTTCCAGCAGCGACTAGAGCCAACATCAAAGGGATATGGTGAACAGTGGCAGCGTTAACGCCGCCGCAAAGGATAGAAGAAAGATGCGCTGCCCGGAGCTGCTCAGAGCGCTCGCCTGGCACAGCAGATCCTCCGGGAAGATCTCCAGGATGGGTAGATGGCGACCCGATGTGGGATCGTGGCAGGTATTGGCACGCGCACGCTGTTTACAAGGGATACAAAAATCGAAGAAATAATTAATATTATACTTACATATATAGAAGATAGTTTAATATATCTGTATAATTGCAAGAATCTGTCAGATATTTGTAATAAAGGTCATGTATTCGAATATGTAAGCAACAAATAAATCAGAGTTTCAAAAGCATACGTTAAATACGAACGCATCTGTGAGCAGAAAATATACTTTCTTGATACAGAAGTGTCCCTAAGGAACCAAAGAATACTTGTGAGATATGATGGAAGTGAAAGATACCAAAATGTATCTGCGAAGTAAATATATAATATCCATGTATCTTGAAGATAAAAAAGTACCTGGAAGATACAAAAATATCTGCAAAACACAAAAAGATCTGCAAGATACAAAAATATCTGATGGATACAAAAGTTTCTGCAAGATACAAAAGTAT